CCACTCCCCTTCCTTTTCGCACTTCTCAAGTAATTTTCAAACAAAAATGAAACCTCTAGTCGATCGCCACGCCTGTCCTTAGACAAAACCCACGCGCTAGGTGAATTTTCTGCTCCTCAAGGAATTCCATACCTTCTCAGCCTCGACCGAATATGTATGGGATAATCTAGGCATTCAACTTCACTAAAGCATTTACTGTAACATTCTCCTTGGAAGAAGCTCTCGAAAGATATACGCCACCACTGAACAGGTTCCTCGCAGAAGCGGAACTCAATTGACCTGGGCAGGATTGCTGAAGTGCCTCAGTCACTTGCACTTTCATGACGGATTCATCTGAGATTGTGATTTCTCACAGCTTTTACACCTTCGCTCGGCGCATCATCACTTTTTCCTGTTCATCTCGACGGGCATGCCGGCAGACGGGCAAGTAGCGCGGCAGGCTGGCGTTGTCTGTGAGCAGCAGCGTGGAGCGGTGATCCATCATGAACGGTGGAGCGATCGATTCCCTCGATGAACGTCATCGACACGACACGTCGGCGTTCATTTGCACCTCCTGATTCATTTGCATCATCATCATCACAGCTGTTCCATGCAATGTGTATGTTATGTATTCCCGGCCGGCCTACACCAAAGATATCTCGCCAACCATCCTTCTTCTCGGAAAAAATCGCCTGCGATTCTTGAACACCAGCCTAGACCTTTCTCAATACCGTATCTGGTTCTTCATTAATAGACATTAAGCATATTCATTGTATGAGAATATGTTTATCCTGTGTTGTGTTCATAACGTCCGTGTATAAAAGAATAAGGGCTGGAAAGGGATATCCCTTGCGTTGGTACTTTTTGAGAGATTTCACGTACCCCTTCCCAAGGAACACTGGGAAGTGTTCCAATCGTGGTTGCTTACGTTTGACCTTTAGCCTTTCAACCAAAGTCATCAGGTTATCTTCTTTGTTGTTGTATTTCAAACCCGAAAAGGGTCAATCGTATTGGGTACAAGCATCACGGAGGACCGTATTTGCTGTTCGGAGAGGGGGTCGTATTCGGTTGGCGAAGGCCAAAAGATTCAAAGGGGGGGGCTAGTTGACGGGTTTTTTGACGAGTTTGATGAAAACTCCTCGAAAGAGGCGTGAAATAGACAAAACTAAAGGATTTGCCGTCTCCTGAGAAATGTTTATCCCCGGTAGGAGTCAATGTTGGTGGAGGGGGGGGGTCGTATTGGGTCTCAAAGCCGATGGTGGTGGGGGTTACCGAACTCCCTTGGGAGGAGGTACGTGAAATCTCTCAGAAAGTACCAACGCTAGGGATATCCCTTTCCAGCCTCCAGCCCTTCTTCATGTTTCCGTTCACAACTCTAGAAAAGGAGTTGTCGAATCGAATCAGCTGACATCTGTTTCTCACCCCCTGCCGTTTGACGAACGCTACGGCTCTTGTCTCATCATCAACGCTTCGTTCTCTATTCATCGAATTGCGATATCGATGCTGTCGATGATATTTCATTGTCTGTTCACATGTTTTCAATTAAATTAGTGTTACTGTATCACTACCATACGTGGGCGGAAAGGTTCCGAAAATTGATCCGGTTCAGCTCAGTAAACAAAGAATTTTGTTTGGTTTTCGTTTTGTTAGAGTTGTTTACCGGTCAGTATGCTTTTGGAACGCCCCCACGAGCGGATCCAGCTTCCACCTTCGCATACTTCTGTTATTTTGACATCGCTGCATCACAGCAGTAGATGTAAAAACAAGAAGCTCAGCATTGAGTAATTCCAGAATGCGCCATGCACATGATTTCAGGCGTTCCGTTCCACACGATAGTGAAGTTTGTGCTATGGATAGAAGCTTATACATAGCGGCAAGACGATCTAAAGGAGCGCCTTTCTTCACAATTCGATGAAGCCTTTCACCGCGTTAAAGTCGCTCCCATACGCCTCCATAGTGTTCCAGCGACGTATGGATATATTCCCAGTTGAAAAAGGTACTCTCCTTCTACGATGACAGCGATCCAGCAAACCGGTAGAGCGGGATCTGAACAGAATCACCTTCATCCACCTTCCTTACCATTCTCCGAGAAACACATTGCCGACAGTGACCGAGCATTTCAGACGGTCATACTCTGACCTTTTATATGCACATCTGCAGGTCGGCATCCATCCGTGGGCATTCGCTCGTGAAGGCGCTATACTCCAGAAAAAGCGACTTCTGCACTTGATGGAGATTAACGCTGAGGAAGGAGAGAGCGCTGGGGAAGAAGAGGAATGGGTTCCTCCTCTCTTCACTAGATTTCCACCATTTTGACTGGACAGCGCTGCTTTCTCCGCCTATTTCCTTTTTCTCCGCCTTTTCTCAAGTTCTGCTGAGACCAACTTTTCCCCGGCTATACACAAGTGAGGAAACCGATTCGTAAATCATTTCGTTTCCGGAAAAAGAACCATGGCCGGGCTTATTTGCCCAGATTCCCCGTTTTCCGTGTGTGACTATCTCTACATTACGATGGCGTTCCGCTGTTTCACAACTTTGTACATTCCATAAAAAGCGCCCAAGTCCTATGATTCATTTCATGTACCACGGTGATGGCCGTTTTTGTATGGCGCGAACTTCACATGTACGTCGTCAATGGGCCTTACACAATTGTAGTTCAGACCAGTCAAACATCGAGGACCTATTGATTGTTTATTTTCTTCAAGCGCAATAGATTTTTCATTTTTATTGCATCATATGTATATTGCAGAACAAAAGTGAATAGCGCAGCACTGATTGGGGTTAGCTTTTTGAGCTTTCTGCGCCATGCATTTTACTTTCTACTAAATTATGATTGGTAATTTTATCCCCATTCCTTCTTCACGAAAGTAAGGCCCAGGCCAACTTCCGCAAATTCAAAATGTTTTCTTTCTTGCCATTTTCATAGTTATTAGGGAGTTTCTTTTCCCACCAGTTGATATTGGCTCCATATAGGCCCGAAAGCGCAGGTCATTCTCAGGTCATTACATTTACCTCGACCACGCTTATTTTTGATTTTTTACTGCTTATGGTTGCCACATTAATGACTGTGAGGAAACGCCAACAGGCTGGGATGTCCACCTCCAAGCCAGGAATTACTATCGTGTAACAAGACGAACATCCAGCAACCGCTGGAATCCAAGCCAGCTATCATATGAATATTCGGAGGAGCGATATCTGTCCCGCCAATGGCTAGCTGATACCTAAAGGGGTTATTGGTCCAAATGAGTTTTTGGATTCTCTGGAATGACCTATAAATTCGCACAGGCTACAAGATAATGAAGCCGATCCATTGGTGTGCAACTGACAGTTAATTCCCGACCGTAGTTCCGGCGGCGTGCGGCAACCGTTTTTCATCGCCCTCTTTGCTATCTCTTTCGCCAGTCCGTTCAGACGCATTAGCGCTCAATCTTGATCGCTTTTTCCTCTTTGATTTCCTTATCGTCTGAAAATCAACGGATGATTGACGTCGTCTATTGGATTGCAGGATCATCTCAGGTGTTTTTCACGCATTCGTGAAAAGAATGGTCGACCGATTATATCGCGATGGCCTTAATCCATTCACGCTACTCTTTAATCTTCTTTTTCTTTTTAATTGTAAAAAATCGCCCCAGATGATGATTAATGATTAAAAATGCACCATGAGCAAGCTTTACACTTCCGATATGTGCGATCTATTCAGCTGTATAGAAATAGCACGTCATTAGACTTTCTTTAACCTACTGACGATAGCATGACTTACCAGTGGGCCATACTTTCGCTAGGACGAGACTCGTTTTCCTGAATTTTTGGCCTTTTTCGTGTTCAAAAGCAGCCCGGCGCTTGAAGAACAATGTATTCATTACTTATGATGAAATTTTAGGAGGGTAAACGACTTTGATGAAAAACTATGAAAAAGATCACGAAGCACGCAGAACGGCGGTCATTAATGGGCCAAGAGAGCATACGCTGGCTGGATGGCCTCAACTGGAGTTCCGATCTTGAAGCGATAAAAAACGCGTTAAATTAATAGTTTCACATCTATGATCGGCTCAGGTAGCTGTAACTATTTATAGGACATTTCAGAGAAATCAAATATCATTTGAATCATTCGAGCCCGTCTGACTGCCACTGTGGTCAGTGGCCAAGGGCAATTATACCGCTTGCGGTTTATAGGGTCATACTATAGTATAAGATATAGTTTGTCCTGTTTAGTCATCTCTACTCGCCTACTGACCTCTAAGGCAGAGCTTTTATCCTGCCAAGATACATACCCGGGTTCTATCGCGCGGCTCGGAGACACAAATGCCTTGATCCCAAGGGTCATCTTTTGAGTTCGATAAGGAACCTCTCTGTTTCGAAGCTACCCCCTGCCCGTGTGCGCCTCTCAAGACGAACTTTTTGGCGTCCCAATCCCGATACTAGATCGGAAACATTGAGTTACTGGGAATTCCACCGTCCCAGCAACAGGCAGAAAATTTCTTCTTTTCCGCAGATTCAAAAACGTTGCTTCTTCTTTTGGATTTTTATTCTCTTAATTTTCCTTCACTTACCCGAAATGGTCGGTGGCGGAACTTTCTTTGGGAATACAGCGTTCTTCCATTTTTTAAGATCAGCTTCAGGCAGTTGCCTGTTCCTTCTTGCTCCTATTTTCCGTAGAAATTCTACCTTTTGTTCGATTTGATAGGCTTATCAATGACAAGAGGTACCACCTTGTCCCAGCATCTATTGTCATCCTAATTCTGAATCATTTCAGCTGTGCAACTCGCTTTTAAATTTTAATTCTTCCAATTTTCATCTACCAGCCGCTAGTAGTCGCTGGTAGAATTTCTTTGGGCATTCAGTTCTCTTCCAATTTTCTGTATAGAATTCTCATTATATTCCCATGCATACAGCATGACTGATAACTCTGGCATTTCTCTGACGAAACAGTTTCCTTTTGTCGAAATTCCGATCGCTATCGCTTTCTTCGAGTTAAAGTTGTTATCGGCAGTAATTGATCGATAACTTTAGAATTTCAGGTAATGGACGTGTCTGCCCCAGTGAGGCCGCCCTCGTGAGTTCTAATTTTTACTTAGTTATTTTTACATGTATAAATTTTAGTTAAAACAATGCGTAGTGTAGATTATTGTGTTGTTGAAAAAGCGCAAATTATACCGTAGTCGTTCTATCAATCACAGGAATGAAGCCTTCTTTAAAGCTCCAATCCTAAACGATATTCCAGCAGCTCGCGCCCTACGCAAGCCTATTACGTGCCGCGTCGTCTATTGGAGGGTGGTCGCGGTCCGTATCCGGCAAACGATGGGAAACCCTCTCAGGACAGTTTCACCAATCCGTATACACCGCCAAACACGACAAAGTCACGACCAAACACTGAGGTAATCACTTGATACGATCTCTGACACCCTCGCCCCGTCCAACCCCCTTTCCTGTCTTTCGAGAAAAATGTTGTTTCATGTTTCTGTCTACATAGGTGCGTACACCGTCGAGCAAAACCGTCGTCAAAACATACATCGAGCCACGTCCGTTGATGGCCGATTTGCTGCCGAAACCCGATTCTCTTAAGGTGAAAAGACCTTACACCTTTCATTTCATTATTGCATAATTATTTTATGTTAACTGTTCATAGGAGAAACGTCGTGCACCTCGCTACAACCAACCGCAACCACCGGCCTCATCGCTAGCTCCTGGCTCTCAGCGAAAAGGCCCTGCGGCTCCACCGCAACCATTTGCTCCTCGAATCGTCAACGGACCACGTGGTCCGCTCTCACGTCCAAATGCCTTTTGTTCGGTGCCTTTTCCGCAGAAGGACATCTGCATCTGTGATCGTCCAAAGACTCATGTCATCTGCAAACGGTGAGTGCTCATTCCAGTTCAAATGTCCCATCCTGTTGTGTGGGAGGAGTAGATGAGCTCAGCTGCGCGCGGTTGCGGCGCGTTCCCGCCTAGTATGGATCAATACATGTCGGACGAGAATAATCCCGTTTTTGAATGTAATTCCATCCTTTCACTTGGTGGGTATTCGTGTACAACAAAACCAATAGCGATTGTTAATATAATATCCTTCATTCAAAGGATTTTGATTTAGATGTTTTTTTTGGGATCGTACCACACCATATTTACAGTATCCTTTATCTCCTGTTCTCACGATCAGACAAGTCCGTAATGCGGACTCAGCAACGGCAAGAGGCGTGGCATTAAAATGATCAATAGTAATAATGAAACAAACGCCATATTGATTTTTTCGAGGCATTCGCCATGTGTGCTACTGATTCGCTGAATAGCAGTAGTACACGCGACGATAGCCTTGGAAAAATCAATGCCATGCGTGATTTTCGATGCTATTGCTTATTTGATTCCCCGCCCAGATGCCTAAGTCTGCCATTGCGGACTCGCTTGTTTACGGGAAACAAAGCACCACTCTGCTTCAGAAAACTAGAAGCACGTCGAGTGCAGACCACACACCACAAGTGACGACGGCCTCCAAGTAAATCTGGTTAGTAGTGGTTCATAGTGATGATTTGGTAAATGATAGTTGTAATTAGTGACAACTGATAGAATACAACTGCAACAGGCTAATCATTTCATTGGCAGAAAACATTTACATTTTGTGGAGGCCGTCGTCACTTGTGGTGTGTGGTCTGCACTCGACGCGCATCTGGTTTTCCGAAGCAGAGGGACTTCTTGGCACCACAACCTCGCCCTTCCATAAAATCGATAAATCGATCCTAATGAATTTCAGATGCGGTTACGAATGCATTGGACGAGTTCAACTGGTGTGCGATGTGCATCCGACGATACTCTCGTTAATGGACATGCGAGAGTGTGCTAATCCCATCTGTAGGAGTATACAGATATTTGAATCGTTTCCACTAAACGACAACAACAATGACGATAATGACGACAAAACCGCCGCTGCTACTACCACCACCGAAATTCTACAGTAATCGCCGCCGCCGCCGTTCAATCGTCCGTCACCTATGCGCCATAGCACACGGGTAAACCCTACACATGACATACAAACATATATATTCGCATATACATAAACGTATGTACATACATCAGCGCGCGCACATACACACACGTACACG